CCATAGTTCTTCAGGCACTCTGTCTATCAGATCTAATTCCTTAAATCTATTTGTCACCTCTACTGTATATTCATCAGGAATATGATTTAGTTCATACCTGAGTGGCCTAGTGCTTTTCCCTACTTTTTTCAATTTAAGCCTAAATTTTGCAACGAGAAGCTCATGATCTGAGCCACAGTCAGCTCCTGGTCTTGTTTTTACTGACTGTATAGAGCTTCTCCATCTTTGGCTGCAGAGCACATAGTCAATCTGATTTCTATGTTGACCGTCTGGTGATGTCCATGTGTAGAGCCGTCTCTTGGGTTGTTGGAAAAGAGTGTTTGTTATGACCATCGTATTCTCTTGACAAAATTCTATTAGCCTGTGCCCTGCTTCATTTTGTACTCCAAGGCCAAACTTGCCTGTTATTCCGGTTATCTTTTGGCTTCCTACCTTAGCATTCCAATCCCCCATGATGATAAGGACATCATTTTTTGGTGTTAATTCTATAAGGTGCTGTAGGGCTTCATAAAACCGGTCAATTTCATCCTCGTCAGCACCAGTGGTTGGGGCATAGATTTGGACTATTGTGATATTGAATGGTTTGCCTTGGATTCGAATTGAGATCATTCTGTCATTTTGGGGATTGTATCCCAGTATTGCTTTTCCTATTCTTTTATTGACTATGAAGGCTACTCCATTTCTTCTGAGGGATTCTTGCCCACAGTAGTATACCTGATGGTCATCTGAGTTAAATTCACCCATTCCTGTCCATTTTAGTTCGCTGATTCCTAAGATGTCGATGTTCAGTCTTGTCATCTCTTTTTTGACTACGTCTAGCTTGCCTTGATTCATGGATATTACATTCCAGGTTCCTATGGAGAAAAAATCTTTACAGCATCGGACTTTCCTTTCACCACCAGATATATCCACAGCTGAGCGTCCTTTCGGCTTTGGCCCAGTCGCTTCATTCTTTCTGGCGTTACTAGTACTAGCCCTCTGCTCTTCCCCAGTAGCATATTGGACACCTTCCGACCTGAGGGGCTCATCTTCCAGCGTCATATCTTTTTGCCTTTTAGTACTGTCCATGGGGTTTTCATGGCAAAGATACTGGAGTGGTTTGCCATTTCCTTCTCCAGTGGATCACATTTTGTCAGAACTCTCTGCTATAACCTGTCCATCTTGGGTGGCCCTGCACGGCATAGCTTATAGCTTCATTGAGTTACGCAAGCCCCTTCGCCACGACAAGGCAGTAATCCATAAAGGGGGTGTTCTGGATAAGCTGTGTCAAATTCAGAGAGACGGCCTATTTTGGACATTGTTACTGCTCGGTAGCTTCGTCAACGCCTTGTGCTGCAAGGTTGAGAAAGGGTCCCTTTTGCCGAGCTCTCCTCCAGCGTTCTCATACTGGCAGGCAGAGTCACACTCTCCGGATGCCGAACTTACCAGCACTACAGGCTTCTCTTGGTGAGTCAGCCTATCTTCTTTCATTGTTTCCCTTGCAGCGAATCCCATCCTCGTCGCAATGTTCTGTTTCTAAGTAAAGGCACTGAAACAAGCAGGAGTAACAAACAGTCTTGTCTTTATTCCATTCACAACAGAACCAAAACAAAATGGTGCGGATTCCTTTTTTACCCCTTTTTCAGGGACAGTGTCAACCAATCAATGCAACATATTTTCTCCCACCTTACACAAGCGCAATAGGCTGGAGACATCCTGTCTGGTCCCGGGCATTCACGTGGTCTGCCCAGGCCTTTCTGCAGCCTCCTGCACCTGCTGAATGACTCAGCAGGCCCAGGACATAACAGTTCCTCTCCCCAGATTGCCTGATGTAAATCTGAGTTACCTTTTCATCCCATCTAGACCCCAAACTGCCAGGGACAAGGCAGTTTAGAAAGCCTACAGATTGAATAAACATGCTAAGCAGCCCTACCTCAACCTGAAAAACAAGTTCTAGATGAATAGACTTCAACTCCCAGAATTCTCACTAATGGCTATGCTAGCTGGGAGGATTCTAGGACTTGTCTAGCAGATAACATGTGCATTTTTGCACTGCAGCATTTGTTAGTAAACAGATGGTAGGCGATGTGTAGGGGTCCCTGAGCTGGGCTACTAAATCCAAATTTCCACAAGATGCAGTCAAGAGATACAGTAAAACCTAGAACAGAGGCAAGCGAGCAGCAGTACCTGAAGGACAGACTGCTTGTGCTCACTCACCAACTCCTAAACTGACCTCAGGCAGCAAAGGAGACTGTCCCTAAGCAATGCCAGAAAAAAAACACTGCAAGGTTGTCTAGCTAATTTCTGTACATGAGAAGGGATTGGAGTAGGGAGAAACTTTTCCTTCAGTGCAGCAAAACATCTTGGATAGCTCTCTCTATGCTAATAGTTGCATTTGTTATATCTGGCACAGAGATTCATATATGGCTTTCTTTCATGTACATGAATTCCCTTCAAATACAAGAGCTCAGTTGCACCGACAAAAAGCTCCTCTAGTTGGTTTTTTATAATACTGTAGGTAGGAGAAGCATAATCCAGGTCACAAATTGCTCCTGGCAGTTTCTCTCTGGAAGTTAAATATGATCAGTAGCAATTGATAGCCAGAGGTTGTTTGTTACACGTCTATTTCATGAAGAGATGAGTTTGCAGATATTTCAGTGCAGGAGCCAGACCAGATCTGAATATCGAGGTGCTTAAGCCTAGCTGTGATCACACAGGAAGAAGACACTCATTTAAGGAGTAAAGGACACACTTCCACTTGAGCAAGGCAAAAAGAGAGAAAAGAGGCTATTGAAAAGTAGAGCCACAGAAGGAAGAAGACCCAACTGTCAATGTGCTTCTTGGGATCCTTAAATCTAACCCCATCCTCATAGAACATCTGAAGTCATAAAACCAAATCTGCTGCTATCAAGTCTTACTTGGTCCCTAAATCTTAAACATCTTATGTTTTGGTTCCTAAACACACACAAGAGTCATAATCACCAATATTTTCTTCTGTCAGAACCTGAGCTGATTTTTTTCCCAACCCATGGTTTGGTTTAACCTTAGAATAAAATTCCACTTTCATTCTGTCAACTAATAGATGGAGCAGCAGGAGGCTCTGGTTATCCATTTGTGCAGTCCCCCACCCCCACTTTTGTTTCTGTGTATCTTCAAATCAATGATTCTGATGAATGCCTAGACAAATCCCTATATTTTATTTTGTCAAGATTTCAAGTGGTTTGCCACTGCCTGCTTCCTAAGGTTGAGAAAGAGTGACTGACCCAAGTTTACCAGGCTGACTGTACTTAAGATAGGATCAGAAGTCACGATCTCTCAGTGGTGTCTGAATCACTACATCAAATTATCTCCCTCTCCCTCTTTTTTTCCTAGGATTGTTGAAAAATGAAACACTGGTTTTCTGCCATTTTCAAGTGGGAAACAGATAAAGACTGTTGCCAGCCCTCAAATAAGTGTAGAATGTCACATCTTAAACATGAATACAAATTTAAATTCCCCTACAATCAAGTCCATTCACTTGGGTGATATGATCCATTCCATTCTTGTTTCTCTCCCCCCCCCCCAATTCTGAAGTTATCTACTCCTTTGCTATTTAATAGAAGCTATAATTAACTTGAATTATGAATTATGGCAGTTCCTGAAAAGAGGGAAATTTGCATCTGCTAAAAGGAGGAAAATAGGTGAACTTGGAGAATATTCTCCAAAGATCATGATTGGGAATGATCAATATTTTTGATTTTGAGACACAGATGGGCTTATTCATTGCTCTGAGTAAAAATGGGATGGCCTTTGATTTAGTAAATGTGCAAACCCAGCCAATTATGGTTTGCATCAGAATATGTAGTTCCAGCATTTTGTGTGAACTTGACTTCCAGAAAACATGGTTAAAACAATCACAGCCCAATACAGAATACAAACTTAGCCAATATTTGTTCTTATCTCAGTGATACAGCGCAGGCCAGCCAAAGTCCCATTCAAAGCCATGAAATTTCTCAACATAGGTTAAATCACTTTTTTTCTAGATTTTACAGTAAAAGGAATTAATCTGTATGTGAATTGAGACTTCTCTCTCCCATCCTCTTTGAAAAAAGAAAATTAGCAGAAAATCTTTAATGAAACCAAACACTGAGCTATTGATCACTTCTCTTCACTAAAGGTTTTTATTTAGCTTCCTGCTTCTACAGGGACAGGTTGCCATTGCAAGCTTGGAAAATGTACAGCCAAGGTCACACAAGGCTTTGGGTTCTTGTGTTTCATTGTGTGGCTTAGCAGTAGAAAACCACGGGACTTTCTCCGAAGATGGTGAACTGGGGGAATTTGGCTTCAAGGAAGCACAGACAGGATCAGACTAACTAGAGTCTAGACACCAGCAGCACCTAACCCCTGCTGGTTGTGGGGACTGAGATAGGCAGGTTTTGCTTTCCTAATCACCCCACACACATACACACGTTAAAGTAAAAAAACAAACAAACCCAAATTCTATTCAGACTGGGCCGCCGTTCAGAGATCACGAGCCTGCACGTGAGAAAGTTCAAGACATTAATTTAAAACCAGCAAAAATTTTATTTCGAGGGAAACAGGAAACTGCCCTGCCTGATGGGCTCAGATTAAGCCGCGTCCCTCATCTCCTTCACGGGAAGCAGAATTGGGAGGGGGCTCTGAGCCATCTCCTCGAGAGGGAACAGCCAACCAGCGAACCCACCCGCTGTCCCCGCGCCCCTTTCCCCTTCTCTGCGAAATCGCCCTAGCCGAAGACCGGCCCTCGTCGGGAGGTGGAGTCGCGGCAGCGGAAGGGGAGGAGAAAAGGACGCCGCAACCTACTTGAATAATTGATAGGCTGGGCTGCGAAGGGGAGAGCTAGCAAATGCGGAGGAGCCGCCGGGCGCCGGGCTACCTGCATCGTTGCCGCCGTCCGCTTGCCTGCTCGCCGGCGATGAGAGAATTGCGTGCAGGTAGGGGAGCTCGGCCGCCGCGCGGCGCCTCTCCTGCCAGGCTAATTAAGGAGGCGCGGGAAAAGGCAAGGAGGCACCGAGGGGCGCTGCTCGGGGGCGGAGGAGGAGAGAGCCACGGCTCTTAGCCCTGGCAGATAAGTCGAGCCCCCATCTTCAGAAGCAGTGTACCCCTGCGTGATCATTTACTGAGAAGGGCTGAGACAATTCAGATTCCTCTCTTTAAAAAAATAATAAAGGAGTGAATCCCTGGACTGAGAGATGTTTCGGCTGAGCCTTAAGTTGAGCCCAAATCGCATTTCTCCCCAGGTGGAGCTGATCGGTGAAAAGGAAGAACAGGAGAGAGAGAGAGAGAGAGAGATGCTCCAGAAGAGTTACCACTTCTCCCATATCTTTTCTTCTGGGGCAGTTTAAAACATTGCAGGCAGAAAATGCTGCAAGAGTTGTTCCTTAGAACTGCAACTTGATGTCCCCCTTGAACTGCTGCCTATCACTGCTATTGTCGAAGGGGCAGTATTAGAAGAAACGGCACAAGCATCTTTGTGGTCCTTGGCTACGGCACTAAGGGGTCTTGATTTCCTGCACCAATAATTACGGTATTTGTATTTTGCAAGAACTCAGTAGTGTTTAGTGTTTAGATCCAGCATATGTTTTCATTGGTAAGGCTTATCTGTGAAATATAAGGATTTTGTTGTTGTAAAGAGTGTTTTTGAGCAGGTATAAAATAAGAGAGGAAATTATAATTAGACAAAAACTGTCCCACCTCATCAGTCTGACAAGAAACACAATTTCAAGATTGTTTGCCATTTGTGTCTGTGCCTGCTGGTCAGCTATGTTGATCTTTGAGGTGCTTTGGAAGTAATGGTGAACCAAAAGGGGCTTTGATTTCCCCAACTGTATCTTGTTTATAGGAGGCAATATTATACATTTGTTATGAATGAAGAGGTCTTGCTTCCATTTTCATGCATTAGAAAGAGATGACCATATTCATGTCTTGGCTATGCTGCGCTGCATGGAGCAGATGGTTTGCATTTGTGTTTGAGACATACTGATCTGTTGCAGCAAAAACAGAAGTATATGTGTGCGTGTGTTCTGTGGCATTTTAAGGACTAACAGTTTCATTGTGGCATAAGTTTTTGTCAAGAGGATCCTATTTCATCAAACATCACTGTTACCGTGAGATGGAAAATGTATTCTCTGGGTGATAAATAAGGCTTTAAGATGGTATCTCAGTGATTATGGCTGTGTCCTGTTTTCTTCTATTTCACATCGGGCTTGTACAGTCTTGGTGTCATTTATTTAACTGATGGATGGCACATCAGTTTGATCTACTTGTTCAGCCTAAATCGTGCCCTTTCATCAGAGATAGGCAAATCTATTCTGACATATTCGAAGATAGCCTGGCAAAGGATACGGAGTGTTTTCTTTTTATCTCTTTACTGCACATACAAATTAAAAATGTTGTAACATCCACCAGGAACAAAAGAGGATACTTCTTGGAACATTGACAGTGAAAAAACTGTTTTCCATGAAAACCAGGGCAGGTGAATTTAAGAACAACTAAGCTAAACCTTTACAGTTTTATATCAAGCTGGTTTTTAAATGTTTGCTTATAAATTACTGCACCAAAAACAAAAACCTCCCAATATGCACTTAAATTCCAAGTTGGCAGCTGAATAAATTCTACCTTATTTCAACTGAATGTTGACAAGTGATTTTAAAAGGGAAACATGATTGGATTAGTAAAGCTGTTTTCTGAGCCCAGTTAGCCAATCTGGAGGAGTTTATAATTGCTTTATAACTAACATCTGATGCCAGAGATGCTATCATCTGACATATGCTCAACCAAAAAGTGTCCTTCTGTATTTTCCTTTCATCTTGGAGCATTTCCATTTCCATTTTAATGGAGCTAAAGGGAAATCTAAGATAGGTCTTATTATTTTATACTGAGAGTGTCCCAAAACAGAGTTTCACACATTTTCCCTTGTAATAATGTAGGCCTTTTTTTTTGCCTTTAAAAATGTCCTAATTATAGACATTTAGGACACTGAGCTTTATTTTTCACTTAGTCCAATTAAGGAATAGGGACATAGTTTTTTGCCTAGCATACTTAGCATATATTTGTTTGTTTTGCATAATATCACAACCTGCACACACATCTGATGGATGACATCCGTAAAACAGCACATAAATCCAGGCCAAAGCAACACCCAGTAAAACTCAGATAGCACTAATCTATTATCTTTCAGATGTTCTCTGGAAGACCTGTTTTCACTACCTTCCAGTAAACCTTCCTTAAAACAGGTATAACGAAATCTATCTGTGAGTTCCTGCCTTCTTAATCTTGCAGAAGTGGGGAAGTATTAATACAATTTGTTGGAGAGGACACACTGTATCAGTGAATTCTATATGAAGAAGTTGGTCCTGAAGGTACCCAGGAGAAAACTCCTATAGGGCTGTATTGGATAAAATCAGCACTTTGAGTTGTACTCAGAATATGAACAGCCAAGGCAGACTGTTACATTTTGCATCAACTGTCATTTTTTTTTTAAGTAGTCTTCAAGGACAGTCCCAAGTAGAATGCGGTGCTCTAATCTCAGAATTTAGAGTTCTGTACAAGGCCAGAAAGAGAGTGAACATCCTCAACTTAAGCATGTTCTAATGGACCAATATGGGCTTGATACTTTGGCATCTTCAGAGTTACTTTCTTACATAGACTTCATGACAGAAGTAAAACTTATAACATATCTCTATCAGAAGCCGAGTAATATTTTTAAAGTAGACATTTTTAGTATATTTCAAACATGGACTAAAGAACTAAAGTCTGCAGTAATATCCCATCAATTGCTTCATCTCACTTAAATGTTATCTACAGATTTGACATTCAAGTTGATTCATCACAAATTATATTCAGAGAATATTTGACACCCCAAAGAATGTATTTGAAAGGATGGACATCAGTTTTTCTTCATTGGTGACTTAAAAAAACTGAAGATTCATTAACCCATATTATATGGGCATGTATCTTTTTTGGAATAGTATTTTAATGTACATAAGTGGATTCAGAGGAAAAATTTTTAAATTTTAAGTTGTTAACCTGATGTTGAATTATATACCAAAGCTTTGAAATCTCACTGTTTATTGGAAATTATGATTATACAGTATCAAGCATGGAGGATGATTAAAATAATTATATTGAGAAATTGGAAAATTCACTATTATTTCAGAGATTAAGGAAAGGCTTTTAGAAATGTGTGACTCATCTGTTATAGAAAAGGGAATATTTTTACTAATAAAAGATGAAGCAATATATTCTACTATAGGAGAGATTTTGTAGTATTTTACAATAATATTTTATATTAATTATATAGTAGTATATTAGTAAATCAGTAACTTCATAAGTTTAATATATAAAATATATAGATATAGATATATATTTTTTTAGTTTTGCATTTTTTAAAATCTTTTTTTCCCCATTTCATTAAATTTGCGCAGAGTCTCATTTAACTGTATTCTTTTTCAGTATTTTGCCACTTTTTTAAAATAAATAAATAAAAAGCAGGGAGAAGAGCGTTAAACTGTGAGACACCCTGCATGTGATCCCCACTAGACCAACCTCTCTTCCCCTCCCACCCACTGTGATAAAACTCCTCCCAACTTTTGCAGTGGTCAGTGATACCAGTTAACATTGAGAAGTCTAATAAAGGAAGAGTGGAGATGGGGAAGGAGATATTGACTCACTCACTCACTCTCTCTCTCCCTCTCCCTCCCTCTCTCCCTCCCTCCCTCTCTTCCTCTCTTCCACACATACAGTGGGAGAGAGACAGAGAAACGTGATGGATATGGATCAAGTATCGGATGGCAAAGTCATATCACAGAACATTCTACCCACTTCATTAGCAGCTACAGGCAAGAAGGCATCCCAGATAACTGCATGACATTGCCCCAGGCAACACTTTGACTCTGCCCCTAGTCAAGAACACAGTGAACAATGAACAATTTTATTATAATAGCTTTTTGCTACCAAGCAGCAGATTTTTACAATGGCAATACATTCCTGAGATGATTAAATATTATCACAGCTCACCTGATCACAGGAGAAGAAGATCCTATCTTTTCATTTACAAGAGTCAGTTTGATATATATTGGGCTAAATGTGGAAGCTTAGTAGGTCCCTTTACCCCAGTTACAATCTCTTTGTTCAGCCTATTTTACAAGATTGTTTGGTGAAGATAAAATTGCGGAAGCATATATAGTGTCTGATGCCTTAAACTTCTAAAGAGCAGAGTTATGGTCATCTTGAGGACCATACGACGTTTTGCTGAGGGCTGCACAATGGGCAGGTCTATGAACCAATGTGGAGGTTTAGAAATTTTAAAGGCTGATATGGATGCCTTAAGAAGTATTTGGAAGTTTTAAGATACGCAATTAATAAGCTCCCACCTTTGCAAGATATGGGCCACCTGTCCTCTATGTGAGCTGGGAAAAGCAACAGAAGTGATGCTGGAGATATGATGTGTCCTGTAAACTCCATTTTTTGTAACAATTTAAGAAGAAAGACAGGATATAAATCTTAAAAACCTAAAATGATTATTGGAGAGGAGAGGAGGGAGAATATGTTAGACTCATATATATATATTTGAAGAAGAAACTGAAAGATTTAATAACTGTTGAAGACATAATCATGTACTGTAATGGTTCTCTTTTGTATATAAGATATTCAATACATTCATTTTGTTTTGGGGAACATGCAGACACATATAAATACTGATGTTCTTTTCAATTATGTAACAATGGTTTGGAAGCCAATAGGGGAAGAATGAAATTGTGTAGCGCATGTATTTATAATAGTGAAAACCTGATATTACAAAATTGAAAAGACATCCATTTCCTTTCAGTTATATAGTGGTCTGAAAGATATGCCTCAGTTTTTATATCCAAATAAGGATTTTATTTGTAAGAGTCTTAATCTGATGACTGTTAAGACATTTTATATCTGTATACTAGTTTATTATTTTGATTCCTGTCTTTTTGTATTAAACTATTATATGTGAACAATTTAATTGTATTATATGTGATATGCTTGTAAGAGTATTTTTGTCTCTTTCCTTTTTTTCACGTAAAATAAAAATTGAAAATGCTATTGAAGTGAAGGAGATAAAAGCTTCTTTTAGCAGAATCACTTATGAACAAGGAAGAATAATTTTATTATCTAAGTCAGGGTGATTCTATCTGTTAAAAGCCAAAAGTCATTCCCAAACTCTTAGCAGCACTTGAGACCTGAAATGAAACTTCTCCCATTATATTTTTGCATGGAAGCTGCCTTACAATCTATAAACATTGTAATAAATAATGTTTGTATACAAAAAAGTGCCTTGATCTGAAACCTACTTTCTTTTTTGAAAAACCTTATACAGAACTCCAATCTGGAAATTTATCTGTTGCTTAATTTTGCAAGCAATCAGCCAAGCTAAATGGTTTTGACGGCCTTCTCCAGTCTGACATTCTGTAGGTTAGTTGAATTTCAACTCCCATTATCCACAGATTGGAAATTGTGAGGATTGTTATCCACTTTTTTTTGGGGGGGGGGGAGATT